AAAGAGTTATGTTCACTGCTGTAGCTACCCATGTATAACAGAAATTCTTTGCTTTCCTTCAGAACATTAAAAACCCTTGCAGTGCTTAGCTTTCACACAGCACTATAAACAGTAAACTTACAGTTATGAACTTATGAACTGGTATTTTTTCTTGTCCTTCTGCAATAGTATAGAAAAGTAAATCTTCTAAGCTAGGAAGGAGACCTTGCTTTATTTTACTGAAAAAAAAAAACACAAAAACATTTATAGATTAGTTCAGCACATATTTTAATTCATACATATTTTTGCATTTTTCACAAGAAAACATTTTCACTACCAACGTAAGTGCTGCCATTAACCTCAAAGAATGCTTTTATTAGTGAACACGAAGCTTAATTCAGCTTGAAGTAGGAAAAAACCTGTAATACTAAAAGTACTTCACAAAGCAAACATTTTTAATTGCAACACAGCAATGTTTTTACTGACATACATGTACTACCAAGACTATATTTAGAAATTTTTGGAGCAGATGCATCAAATTTCCCTCTCAATGTTACAGAGGACAGACACATTGCTTGCACAGAGGATAAATTATTTATAAGATTCAAAGACCTACGTGCCTCATAATAATGCTGCAAGAGCAGACTGATCCAATGGCTTCAGAGAGGAAGTAAAGAGGTGGTTAATGCATATTACTTTCTTCACAATTGTTCTGCTTTTAGGAACACCTGGAAAGAGTCCTAAAGCCCTTGTCTTTCTAGAAGCTGACGTAAGCCATGTCAGTTGCAGGGAAAGCCAGCAAAGCCATCTGCAGCACAATGAAGTAATCCCAACCAGCTCAGGCACCAGAAGCAGAAACTCACTGCACGCACTTCGCAGAGCGAGTTAACACGCAGTGTAGTTACGTCCTCAATGGTCACTGTGTTTATCCATGTAAATACACTGTCTCTCCAAGTATTCCATGTCTTAACTATTTTACTCTCAGATATGCTTCACATATGCCTTTTTTTTGTTTGTTTTTTTTTTTTTTTGCAACTTACGTGAAATGTGAAGAAAACCTACCAGATAAACCATCAACAGTCCTTTCAAGAAAAATGCTGTAATACCCTCAAAGCTTACCCTCAAATCCTTTGGAACTTCTCTAGAGGTTTAACTTCAGAGTTTGGCCTCTCCTTGCTATTCCAAAGCACCCTGCAGCAGGCAGGAGAGCAAACCTCACTCAGCCCTTGATGCTCCCCCTGTAAGTACAGCATCATAGCATACATCTGGCATGTACACTTTCAAACTGCAAGGGGCACTGGGCTGCAAAGGGTTTTGGATCAATTATTTTAGTCTCCTGAAGTGCTCAGGTTTATTTCTAGGCAAAAATCAATTTTAGAGAAAGCCCATATTCTGATGTTTAGCAAGCAAAAAAATTAAGAATTAAACAGTTCTCTATAAATGTAGATAGAAACTAACTGAAATGCAGAGTATGCAGACTTAAATTATTTTAGCCATCAATTTCAAAGCTCAGTGTTATAATCTAATAATATTTGCAGTACTTTGTTACTGTATCATAATATATGAGTTATATACTGAAACTAATCCTAGTTTACTATATTATATTCAGTAGCAATTTACCTATTTTTATACATCTGTGCACAAAAAGCAGGTCTAAATTCTAGTCATGAAAGTATCAATAAGGTTAGTAACTCTTTTAATACCAGTACTCAGGGTTAAGTACGAAAGTAAAAACACTATGAAGAAGCTCAGAACCTAGGTAGGCCAATGCAACCTTACAGACTGGCATTAATGCCCCCTCCTCTCCCAGTTCTAGCTTACTCAACCTCAACAACAGGTCAGCTTTATGATTATTTCTAATAAAGATCTAATTATATCCAAATACTCTTTCAGTTTTAAGACAGCCTTTAGACTGCACTCACCTCTCTCCCCTCCTTATAACCAGCAGTGAAAACCAGTAGTAAAAAACCCTCACTGTTCATTTTTCCGATTTATTTAAAACAGTACTTGCATACTAAGAACAGAGAACAGCTTTATAAGCCAACAGAACTTCCCTTGTCTCCCAGTCTGGTTGGGGTTGGTTCTTTTTTTTTTTTCAAATGATGCTGGCTGACTAATGCACAGACAGCAGACAGACTGGCAATTCAACCAAAACAAACGCTTGAAACTACCTCAAGCAAATTACTGAACACTCTTTTTCCTAAAGAAAATTCAAGTCTTCCACACAGCACATTGTGCTTCCAGCCTTTTGAGAACAGTATGTCCAGTCAAGCCAACAGAACCAAGACTACTAACACACCTATTGCAGCTTGGTCCTGTATCTGCACCCCAATTCTACAGCTAAGGACTTTGGTTTTTAAAGTTATGCTGAGTTAATTAGCCCACACCCCTACATTTGGCCCCATTTTACACTGAGTGTTTAACCAAGCTCCCCAAAGCATTGAAATTTTGTGTTTTAAGGAATGTCTCTGCTACAAGACTGGATTGCTGAAGGTCTGACAGAGGAAACTCCCATACTTCACTTTGACAAAACAAGCCCACAAACACAGTAAGAAATCTTACCTCGTAGCCTATTTAATTACAAGTTTCTGAGCTGATATTCAGAATTTTACAGCTGTTCCAAATGTGGAATTTCTATCTGGAAGGTGCAGAAAAAAACCTTAGAATTTAGCCAAGATTTTTATCTGCCTCTCTGTAAGATTTTCATCCATTAAAAGAGATGTGCACCTTTCACAGCATAAATTCTCTCTTGACATAGTTTCCGTATCTTTCACATCTGCTGATTTTCAGTATCAGGTCAGTCAGCCTAATTTAGCAGAGGATCTGCACTGACTGCCAAAGCAAAGAGGATGGCATTCAATATATTTACAGAAAACTGCTCTGTCAAATAGTCCATCTTTTGATAAAGTTTATCAGCTAAGCAGAGGTGGAAAGGCTTGCTCTGCAGTTTATCGGGTCAGCAATGTCAGTAGCTAATGTTTGCTTAACCTAAAAGCCACGTTTTGGCACCACGAACACACTTAGCAAGATAGTGCTGTTTAGCACGTGTTGTAAAGAGCTGTTCTGCAAGTCAGAGAACTTGCAGTTTCCACAGTTGAAGTGGAAAATCCAGTTTATTCCATTTCATGAGTAATTACTTCTGATACTTACTTCCCTTTAAAAAAAAACCAATAAAACCCAAAAAATTAAGCACTTGGCTATTGCACAACCATATGTCTTTTAACCTGTGGACTAGAATACTGGCAGATGCTCCACATGATTTTTTCAATATAAAGAAAAACAGAAAGCAGGCATTTCAATCAAAGGACTTTGCAGTCCAGACCATTCCTTCTTTCAGCTCCTCCTTTTGCATCATCAGTACAATGTCTATGCAAGATTCCAAGGAGCATTTCACTTTAACAAAAGCCAAATTATAATTCCTACAATACGAGAGAGATTAAATTTAAAATCCAGTGAAATATTCCTGCTTTGCACTTCCAAGATGAAACTGGCAAAATGCAGGACAAGGTTTACAGAGGAACACAAGATACAAAGATATGATACTACTAGTAAGACTAACAATAGTAGCAGGCTCATTGTTAACTACAATATACCAGTCACAAAAATAGGACGTCACAACCACTAAGAGCTCCGAGGGCTGCAAACCAGCAGCCCCTCTACAACAGGTATCCTGTCACAGTATTACAGATAACTGATCTCCATCTAAGAAATAGAAACATCCATCAAGTAACTAAATAACCACTTTCTGTCTGCCTGCCTAGTTAGACACTGATCCCATCAACAGTGGTATGTATTCACCTGAGAACCTACCAAGATTCAGAAAAAACTACATATTCCTGTACTTACACAAAAAATGGACATGATTTTATCATAGGCACTTTAACGTCTACTAAAATAAGAACTGTTGCTTCAAAACCTTAGTCTCAAAGGAAGTTAAGAAAGGTCTAATGAAAGTGCACTTCTAACAGTTTCTTGCATCTGCAAGTATTACATCCATGCTCTGACAGAAGCAACACTGAGATGGAACCACTGCCTGGTTACTATACAGTTATTCCTCTGGAACCTGGCCTGGGTGCAAAAGCAAAATTAACTTTAAAAGGTATGTCCACAATTTATCCCTGACCTTAAAAAGGAACTTACCACCACCTTGTTATATTAAGAAAAAATAGTAAATAAAACACTTCCATGAACCATTCTGCAATTTAGCTACACTTCAAAAATCAGTTGCTCATGTTTTGCTCCTCCCTCGCACCTTAAATCAATGACTTTGTAACTTACAAATAGTTCCAGATAAGATAAACTGTTTGATCCTACAACTGTCCAGCCTAAGACAGAAGAACACTGCACACTTATACTGAAAGCAAAAGTGAACAATGAAGTCATATTGAAAGCAGAAGTAAACACTATTAAATATTATACAACTTTGTAACACAGGACTATACTAGGTTATCGTGTTTTAATTTGTAAGGCAAGAACATAGGTATAATTGCATTTTAATTCACAGCCTTTATTAATCAGAATTGCCAGTCTATGACCAATCTCAGTTTAAGATCAAATATTTTTCCTTTCCGAAATATAGTAAGTTTCATGTGGATACAGAATGGAGGCTGGATAGGAGGGATAAGGAGGTGGTGGTTTAAGATGTTTAGAAAAACATGCACAAGAGGTTCTGGTTATGCAATAGGATACTAGCTATTTCATCAGCCACAAGATCACATAATTTATTCCCTCTATGAAGGATTAAACTGTCCTAAATTTCAGCACAGTCTTAGCGGAGAACATCTCAGGTTTTCACTTGCAACTCCTACTCTGTACACAAGGACTGCCAGGCAAGCATACAAGCAAGAAAACGTCAGTGCTCTTTTTACACTGTAGGTTATTCCAGTATCCTAGAATTATAATCTTACAACCAAATTGAAAAAAAAAAAAAAAAGTAATAATCCCCCAAAGTAAACAAACAAAAAAGAAAGACTAAAAAAGGCCTATTGTCTTCGGCTTACAAACCATCTGCCAAACACAACTGAAACATCACATACTGCTGGATGGCAAAGCACTGGCATCAGCAGAACACACAGACTACCCTGACTTAGCCCAGTTGTCACTTTAGACCAGAAACCTGTCTTCTGAAGAACTTCCCCTTTCTTCCAAATCCTGCACTCTCTCTCCCTGTAGCAGATTTCCACATGTAACATATGACTTAGAAATACTTAAAGAAGATTTTCATAATTCTGCAGTAAGA